GCCTGTTCGTTTACCAACACCATATCGACGATCGCGGCGCCAATATCGAAGTATCGCTTTTCTTGTACACTGCCGCATTCCGAAATTTGCCAGTGAATTACAGTCATATCGAGAGAGCTGCTCAGGAATTCAGTCAACTCTGAAGAGACCACATCCCTCGCAATGCGACAGATCTTTGTTACCCGTCGCTCGTGTTTCGTTGACGCCTCCAGTTTTTGAAACGAAACTCGCTTAACATTTACGCACCAAACAGCCAATCGACCATCGTCGTAACCCACGCTCACATGCAGTTTTCCTCCAGCTTTTTGACCACCCGATCCAACGTTGTTTTCTTGATTTCTCATCAACTCAATACAAGATGGAGATACTGGATAACCCTCAGCAACGCTGTTGACATAACCGATCAGTTTTAATGACGGAATGCTCCATAGTTTGATGATACCGCCGGTACCCACCGACGCTAGCAAAGCGCGTTGCCCTCTGACTGCATCTAAGCTCGCCAGTTGAATAATATGAGACGAGTGTGCATCTTGGACTCGCACATTTGCCTTCTCAATCGATCGCAGAGTGAAATCGTTATCCCAAAGCGCTTCGACATACCATCCGTACAAATTACCGCTTTCTGTACCAGCGACAATAATTGTTTTATGAGCCACCGCTTCTTCGGACGTATCACTAGAGAGACAATCAGTGTGATGGTGAGATGTATCCCAATACGATGGAGATGACAAAAAACCTGCTTCACCAATAGCGTTATAAGCTGACATGTTCTTGTGTTTGATAGCGCGTTGAAAATGGACGACCGCCAAAGTGCTGATCTGGTCTGTGAGCTGTTTGTCTTGCAGTTTCATCGCGTGTTTTTCACGTAACACGTCGTATATGTCCACTATCCCTCTACTCCACGCGAGAACCACAAAGCATATTTGCAGTTGATAGTTCGCCATAGTTTCCATTGAGCACACGTGTCCAGACATTCCCGGTGCATGCGGCGTGACAAATAATGACTTTGAAGAAGATCCTTGGTTTGAAGTTTCGTCCAGTGGGAATACCCGAAGTTTACGTGCTGCTGTACTGCTGAGAGAAATAATTTGGGAGGAATCCTGCTGCTCAAAGGCTCGTACTGCATAGACTTCTTCGACTAAGGCGTATTCCTGCATCACATAAAGAACCGTCTGGACTTTCAGTACGTGAATAACATCCTCACGCACAACCAGTAAAAGATTCTCGAAGCAGCTTCCCATGTCGATGGTAACACACATGGTCAGCGTCCTCAACGGAGGCCCCAGGGTGTCTTGGTTCTTAAAAATTCTACTAGAAATGTCGTCTTTCCCAATTTGCGATTTTCCTCCAACGTCAAAATACCCAACAAGACTCAGCCTTGGATAGCGGTGTTCTTCAGAATTTATGTCATCACGATAGTTTTTCCTTTCAACCGATAATCTCCAGTGTCTTACAGCTCCAGTATCCCTTTCAGCAGCAATAATAATCGCATCTGTCAATCTATCAGTGGCAACCGTATTGCCAGTCAAATCTGGTGCAGACGTTGTAATGACTTCAATGGAGGAAATCACCTCCGCCTGGGCATCCGCGACACCGGATTCTGTAGGTTCGTACGGGTCTGTATCTATAGTAAACATCTCTGATCCGTTCAACCTGCTACCATGCACATTCCACACCCTCAAGCCTCCCTTGGATACTCCAACCAGTAACCAGTTTCCACACGGTGACACGGCCATCGCAGTGATCGTATGCTGCAGCATGACTCTTCTCATTAACCCAAGCTTCCCTCCATTCAGCTGATTCTGCCTCCACACAAGCATGACACTTAAAGTATCCGCTGAGTCAGAATAGTCACCTGCAGCTCCATACAACTCCTTTAACCCTTTCGAGCCACAAACCAAATTTAACGAGTCCGGATGGCGAAGTGATGCTCGCGTATTCTCAATAAGCAACAACATGCTCGGCTGTTGTTGCTCCACCTCAAAATCTGCACTCCAAGACGTCGGACGGTCGTCTAGTCTCTTCGAAAGCTGCAGAATCTCTATGACGTTATTTGGAGCCTTTGGTAACATCCCACCGTCGTGGTCACAATTCTCTAAGTGGCTAGCAACTACCAAACGGTCTGTTAGTGGGTCGAAGTGGGCACACTGTAGTGTGTGTGTCTCGGGGCCTTGATACACCAGCAACTTCCGTAATGTTGCTGGTTCTAACAGCACCACAAAGTGTGTTGTTGTCTTTGGTACTTTGGTGGCACCTCTGGGCCTCGTGGCTGTGTTGTAGACACATAGAAATACGTCCAATGTACGTGAATACTGCAGCAACACAGTGGGCACGACCACTTCAACGTCGCTCTGCTTGAGCCGCTTCTGCTGCTCTTGTTGTTGAAGTTCGAAGAATGATGGTCGTTTTGACCCTAGAGTTGCATTAGTGGGACTTGAGTTGCTGGATTTATCTCGTTTGGCATCGTCAATTAGCGACACGCTCTTGAGTTC